GTGTGTGCAAGGTTAAAACCCCTGATAGTCTCACTCTAACTGGTGTTCTTCTGATCCAAAGTATGAGACAAACACGCACATTGCCACAGATCAATTGGTGCAGATGCAGAAATAGAAGGGGATGCCAAAAAGATTGACTACTGCTTGCTGGGACGGCTCCCTGCGTCGGGCTTCGGTTTACAGTTAAATTATTCCCACCACCTTTATCTACTTCCTCTCTTCTGCTGTGGAGAGAAACATATTGGCAGACTGCTGGTGAAGTTAAACATTTATATCTCCAGTAAATCTCAGCCAGCAGCCTACTCTGATGGCTTTGTAATGTGGTTATTCTAATCTGACACACGGCTGTTTTTTTTCCAATCTTACCCTGCTCCATGTAGCCTTAGTTTTCCTGCACTATCTATGATTCTTGTTTTCATACAGAGATACTATGGTGGCAAGATGTCAAATACCTGTCCATGTGTGTTAGCAGACAATATCTTATTGTTTATGTTTCCAAACCTGCTGTAGTGATTCCACAGTTGATTCCAGCTGCTCTCGCCTGGACAGCTCCTCCTCCCATCTGCAACACAGCAAAGATAACAGAGGTGGTCACTTCCACTGCTGGATCCAGTCCCCCGGAGGCCACACATATGGCTTAATGGTACGGCTGTGGAATAATACTCCCATCTCTGATTACAAAGTGCCCCTGACCGTTTGGTATCACACCCACTGCCCCTTCTTTTTTCATCCTTTTGTCCTATTGCTCCTTTGTTACCTTAACTTGTACCATAGAAAACTTAAAAGGAAGAATGGAGTGCTGACCTTTCCACAAACACAACAAACGTTGCTAATGAATAGTGTTGGAACTTGAGAGAATCTGCAAAGTGGAGGTTTTCTGATGCATTTTAGCAGGAAGGAATTCATGCTAACATGTTCAGTTTGTCCATCATCCCATCTAAGGATGTTGAGATCTTCTTTTTTGTTTGCATCTGTCAAATTACATCAAAATAAGTTATGTACAAGTTATCCGTCCATCCATGCATCCATCCATGCATCCATCCATCCATCCATCCATCCTGTCTATACCTGCATATCCACAAAAAACAGTCATGTCTTTGGATATTCCAAATAAATGATAAGATATAATCTTATAATATAATGGCTCATTGTATCCAAAGTTCAAAAACTGTAAATTACATCTTATATTAAAGCATACTGTGTACATTTTAGCCACAAGGGGAGCTAAACCGGAAATCCAGGTTTAGCAACCCTGAAAGCAACAAGCAACTCTGAACTGTCACAGCATTTAATAGTGGTTTTGTTGCCCAACTTTCAGCTTAGTTAACTCTGGCGTTTAAGAGGAACTCGGTGATGTAAAACGGCACTATGAGTCACAGGACCGACAGATGTGACTCTCTCGAGACACAATCCACTGGACTTTGTTTTCAAGTTTGAAGATGTTTCGCTTCCTATCCAGGAAGCTTTTTTAATTCAAAATGTCGAAAATAGCATTGATTTCGAGGCTTTATAGGCCCTATAGTTCAATTCTTTATAGGCCCTAACTATATGTTACCCATTGTTGCTTTAAAGGATCATCAAAATTATGAGAAAAATACACTTATAAAAGGAAAATTATAGTGACTGTATGAGACTAACGGTTAACTGTGGGGAGACCATTTTAATTTTAAAACTGCTTTGCAATTATTATTATAAAAAAATATAGTAGTCTTTAGTTATTGTCATGACCCTGCTAATTTTAAATTCTACAAAAATTTACCTTTTAACAAATGTAGATTCAGCCTAACAGCAGACAATTATTACCCTGAATCAGAGTAAAGTCTACAGTTTGATGAGGTTATGCAGATCTGGAGTTTGATGTGAAATATGAAATAATCATCCAGAGAAAAGGCCTTTTTGTCAGAAAGTAAATACATTTTGCTATACTTTTTAAATGTTGAGGTTAAAACTCTAAATCCATAGGTGCTTTAAATGGATGTCTTATTTGCATTTGCGGATAAATAAAGTTTTCACTGGTATTAATTCATTATACTAACTCTTTCTATCATATTCCACAGTTTAGTTCAGCCTGGGCAGACACACCTTCTTGCCCTCTTGGTTAAATTCATGCCAAGACAAGAAATTAACTGCTGAGAATTCTGTGGTAAGGTTTTTGGTTTAAGGTTTTTTAAAGGGTTTTAAAGGCCCAAAAATATTAGTTTGAGTTGTTTTGATTTCTCTCTTATATAATCCAAACATGCATAGTTAGCTAGACAGACAGACAGACAGACATATAGAAAAACAGACCAACACACACCGACAGACAGCCTTAAAGTTCAGATTGTACAGACTGTTAACATTCCCAAATCCAAGATTTTCCCTGACAGAGCCTGAAAGCTAAAATAATTAACATCAGATATGCTATAATTTGCTCAGTCTAACTGTTACCTGGTTAAAATCTTACTCTCTGTGGTTTTCTGAGAAACCGAACGTACCACAGATCTTTTGTATAACTTAGCCTCATTTTAAATGTCTAAAAGTTTTGCATTTCCAACAGACTGATTGTCCACCTCTGATTAGTAAGCCCGAGCATAGGTATACGCAACGGTGCGTTAATAATAATACTTGTACTTTATTGATCTCACATTGGAGAACTTGAACCCAGGGAGCATTGTGGGGCGCCACTCTGGGTTTCTTGCTCAAAGACCCATAGTGGCAGTCTATGGTAGTGGGGTTCGAACTCAGAACCTCTGGACTCCAAGCTCTATGCCCAACCACTAGGCTGCCACTCCTCATTACACTGTCACAAATACAGGGAAGACTTTTTGCGAAATTAAACCAGGTGACTAAAATGTTTCCACTTGAGGAGAAGAAAAATGTTCATCTTAAATGCAATAGATAATTCTTTTTTTTTTTTTTTTGATTAATCAAGACTAATTGTTTCAGCCCTATTACATACTCTGATATACTATTAGGGAAAGCCTCATTATCACTGAGAAGTCATGTTGATTCTCACCAAGTCTTTAAAATGTTTGAGATCAGAGTTGCAGTTTTTCAAAATATATTTTTACTTTCAAGCTATGTAAAAAATGCTACATAACAATAGGATATCCTGGGACAGATGACTGCAACAAGATTACATTTCTTAATGAATGTGGATCTAAACATATGAAGGCAGTTACCAAAAATAGATTAATTGAAATACAGCAGTGCTCAAGTCTGAGACACATGTCAGTCTCTCCAACTCAAGAATATAACAGAAATAAAATATTTATCTTTTGGAACATGGAATAAATCTCAGAGCATCCTGATAAACAGTATTTTTAACTGTGTAGACTTTAGGTTTAGTTTGGTTTTCTCAAACATCTGATTCTGAGATGTGAAAGTATCATTTAGGATCTGATGAAAATGCAACTTATATGAATTATAATTTGACCTTTACCCGTATTAGAACGTTTTACACTTTTTTTGTTTTTACTCCTGTACTTTGACCCTTGGTCCGGCATTAAAATCTGATTACTGCTGCAGATAATTACCAAACCAGCTTTCCATTTCCCCTCAAGGTTATGTGAACGTGTAAAAAAAAACAAATTTATCAACAAATTCAACCAGTTGTTAAACCAAACCAATCAGACTATCAAATGTTACCAATACTTTCAAAGGATACTTCCCAGCTATTCATTTCTCTTGCTGGGGCTCCTGACAATCAGTTCCCAAGTTTAGAAAACATCCAACCAATGCTAATAAAGATTCGCTGCAACCTATAATTAAATTGTTCTGGTTTTCCCCTGTTGCTTCCCCTCTTGTCATATTACTATGCTGTATTTGGACAAAATTAGCAGCGAGTGTCATTATGTTGCTGTTTGTATTGGAAATAAAACTCAGAGGCCTCAGCTGTCTAAATGTAGGCGGCAGGGCCCCATTACACATTGTCTTTGATATGAGACAACAACTATACTCAGTCTAACGGCTCCTAGAAGACAATGAGAATTACAGAATGAAGGAAAGAAAGTTATAGTGTGAAGTGACAGCACTGTTTTAGAAAGCCCTGAGACGTTGAGTCGTTATAGGCCATTGTGAGAAGGATTCAAATTAAAGGGAATTTCTGAGAGTAGGAGTTAGAAAAGACCGGGTGAGAGACATTCCAAAGAATATACTATATATTTACCAAATGAGGCAGAGATTACATAACATTAGCAGACCCTTTCTAACCCTTAGCCTTTACCGAGGAGAAACTTGTGTCTCTAGAAATCCACTTTCCCAACGAAACTCAACTTTGTTTACATCCAGGAGCCACTAACTGTTCACTGTCTAATTAGAAAGAAGTACTCCTTCTCACGGCTCGGCAGCTTGCTCTCAAATTAAAAGCCTTATTTAAAAAAAAAAGCTGGCAGCAGTGTTAAAGGGTGTGCACCCCTCTCGGCCAGACTGCCGCAGACCTCTGGCTGAGGTCACTGGAGTTCACAACTGCACCAGATCCTCCAAAGTCGCATGCTTGGCACAGCATTTTCATCACTTGCGTTGTCACTACCTGAGCCTTTGTCATGGCCTTTCCAGGTATCATCAGAACTGGAAGTGATAATGGTACAAAGCAATTAAATGCCCATCAGAAGGGAAACTTTAGCCACAATAAGTAAGTCAGAGCTATTTATATCATCAGTCAAGTGTTATACAGTCTGCTTGTTTATTAAGGCAGCATTTTTTCCATGTTATTTGAAGTGGTTAGAGTAAATAAAGCCTAAAAGAAAACCACCAGGTATGCTTAAGAATAAGAACAAAACCACTTTCTCTGTGTGACTGTTCTTCTTGTACCTTTGGCGTGACTAAGTCAAAACGGAAACACTGGGAGTCTCCTTACAAGGACAAAGGCAGCAGGAGGGTTGGAGCCTGTGTCAAATCAACGACATTTTGTTTACTGCAAAACAGTTTCTTTGCAATCTCTCACATCTGAATTTTACAGAATCGTGCCAGTGCAGTGAGAAATCACTCTTTCCACTGGTACTTTTCTTTTTTTCTGGTTTTGCTTATTTCTAATGCTTGATGTTTTCCCTTCCACTTCTTAATTTCAGAAAATATAACCCGAGTTATTACAAAGTACAGTTTCCAAGAGATGATTTTAATTGTTAAGGAAACAAAAACTAAAAAGAAAATCTAAACTGACATGGCCTGATGTGAAACAAGTAACTGCCCCCTTCACCACTTGGCACCAATGGTAGCAACAATGAATCCTTTACATCATCAGGTAATATATTTTGTCTTTAACTAGGCTGCCCTGTAACCTTCCTCCTGTAGAGGTCTTTTTTTGAAACTTTTTTTTACTCTTCATAAGTGTTTCCTAAGCTGATTTTTTCCAGATCATGAAGCAACAAAACAGCTGCAGCCTAAAAACCATTAACACTTTTTTTGTGATTGGTTGACAGATGTTAGCGCAATAAACACCCACTAAAACATCCAAAAAAGTTGCACTGAATATTGTTTGATATACAAATTTGGTTGATGATCTAAAATAATGCAAGCGGATCAAAAAGGCAAAAACAAGTTATCAGCAAGAGGGCAAATAATTCCTTTGCATGATACCTATGG